CATGATGGATGTATCGGTGTAGACTTATGATGGATGTATCGGTGTAGTTTCCAGGATTTAGGAAGAGGTGAAGAAACAAGTCTAAACATGCCCCCCCCTGCAGACAGCCCTATGTTTTACTGTGGTATTTCACAGGGTATTACTGTGGTATTTCACAGTATATTACTGTGGTATTTCAGTGTTTTACTGTGGTATTTCAGTGTTTTACTGTGGTACCTTTGGTTTATCACTGTGGTATGGTTATGATGGTATTTATTTGTGTACAACACTGATATTTCTTGTCAATGGTGTGTGTTTAGTGTAGTGTGGTACTTTTTAGTGCATAACGGTTGTAGTTTTCAGGTATAAAATGTGTGTATAACAGTGATATTCCTTTAGCTTATAAAGGTGGTATGCTGTATTACTGGGGTACTTTTAGTGTATTACCGTGTTTTTTATTGCATTACTGTGGTACTATTTTGGAGTTGTTCAGGGTACAACCTCTTACATACAGCCATGGCCGGTGGTCTATTGTACGTACATATATATATATATATATATATATATATATATACATGTTATATATATATACACAGTATATACATGTGTGTTTTTATACAGCAGGGTTCTAGTCACGACTATCTAATCCATTTCCCTCAGAGACGATTTAAAACAGGAGAGGGAACTCTATTAGATTCTGAAAGAGGAGAAAAGAGTCCATACAGGTGACCTCAGGTGACCTCATTAGCAAACTGCCTGTGTGTGTTTAATAACAGGAAGTATGTATCAGCTGATCACAGTTCTTGTTCTGGAGGTTTTTCACTGGAAACTCTGTTTAGTTTTTCTCCCACGTTCACATTCTGAACCCCCAGAGCCCCCAAATTTGGGGGCTCTGGGGCTCAGAGGGGGTAGCATATACCGTCGAAAAAAATGCACTTATCGAGAGCGAATAAAATGCATGTATACATGTTATATACCAGATTAAAAAACACAGTCTGGGCAAAAATATCCTGCAAGCCATTTTTACAAAACTCCAAACACAATTCTACACTACTAATATAATCAACTAGAAGATTTACCACAATATCACGTATTTTACGCAATGACTCGGCGAGCTACGCACTCCGGACAAAGCTATGAACACAAAGCTAAAAGCTAACACGGACAACCAATACATCACAGAGCAAGGGAATTCGACACAGATTCCAGAGATATCTTCAGAATTTCTCTCCGTGAAACCATTACAGAGATACAGCCAACAAGCACCAGAAGAACACACCGGTCCGCAATATATCATAAATGCTTCATACCTTGAGCTGATTTTCTTGAAGAGAACGGAGAAGGGATTTCACTTTTGGCGTATCGGTTTTTACGCTCGGCGAGGCACGTCGCAGTTTGGAGTTTTACTAGCTAACGATTCTGTCAATCAAGCCCACGTTACCCCCACTCATTTCTATGGACTATGACGCGTCGAAGGAGGGCTCATTCACTCAAATCGACCAATCATAGCCCCACATATACACAGGAAAACTGCAGTCAGACGAGAATGGATCCATGGTTCACAGGCTCAGAGAGGATTCAGGCTCTCAAAATGATGCCAAACTGCTGTATTTGGATAGATTGAACACTATTAGTGATAAAACAAGTGAAATATATAGTTATATAGTATATAAAATTACAATGGAACAGCTGGAACAGCTGGTTCCAAAATGACAATTTTGCTTGACCTCGCCTGACCTCTCTGTACTAAAACCTCTCTAACTTGCTGCTGCATTATTTCAAAGAAATAATAACAATAAAAGTGCTTTTTTTCAGGTGAACCTGAAACTTTAACTATTAACTGAAATTTGAGCTGTGTGCCATCTTCATTTACTCTTAACCAGTAACATATACACTGATATTTACACATCTGCACAAATCTCACAAGTGTTACCTTTATTACAACAGCAACATTATTAAAATAGTCCTTTTAGTTACAGAAATACACTCTTTTTAGTATGGGTATGCAATTTTCGAGCAGAGGCCTAAAAATAGGCTGGGAGTTTAAAAGGAATGTCCCGAGACTCCAGACCCTCTGGGGCCTTAAATGTTCCTAAGCTCCAGACCCTCTCCAGACCTTCTCCTAAATGTCAAACACTCTTTGTGCCATTAACTGCTACATGTCGCCATGTTGAGGGCTGTGTGGAGGCAACAGAGTTTCTCTGGACTTTCTAAAGATTGACTGCACGCTCTTACTTTGAAGGACTGACCTGCTCTGACCTTCAGTGACTTCCTGTCCTCTCTCTCAGGTTTGTGTTCTTCCTGGACCCTTGTAACGTGGACATCGTCCAGAGGAAGATCAGGTCCATGGCTCTGTGTGTGTCTCTGTGTCCCACCGAGGAGCTGAAGACCTACCAGGACCTAAAGAGGTTCGCCATGGTCAACGGTGAGGTCATCACTTGTTTCATTAGACAGGGGCGGGACAGCAAAGGGCCAATCAGGTGACCAAGACCCCGGATCAGGTGACCAGGACCCCGGATCCGTTCTGGACCTGTGAACAGATCAGTTGAGGTCCGGGTTCTGTTCCCTGTGGTTCATCAGGGCAGAACTGACAAAGAGGAGGACAATGGTGATGTCATCATGATGATGTCATGATGATGATTTAATGTCTCACCACCCGAGTACAGTACACACACACACTCACACACAAAGGCAGCATTAAGACATCTGTGTTGTTGGTGACTCGTCTCTGTTTGTCCATCATGTAGTTCATGAATAGAGTCTCTGTCCCAGAACCACACAGGAACCAGGTCTCTCTGTCTCCTGTCCTCTCTTACCTCCTCTCTGTCTGTGTTCTTGTGTTTCAGGTTCAGAGTTGTGTTCCTACGAGTTAGCGGGTCATAAATACCCCAGTCTACCTGAGAGGGTCTCTAAATGTCCCAAACTTCCTGTTCCCCCCAGGTACGTCCAACCGATCCTGTAGGTCCTCAGTTCTACATGACCGGGCCTCCAAATGGTCTCAGGGTTAGTTTAGGGACCAGAACCTTTAGGCACAAAAAACACTGTGGTTTGGGGCAAAAAAGTAACTTCAGGAGACTGAAGACTTCCACCACTTCCTGTTCTTTTGTCTTTCTGTCTGACCTCTCTAACCTGTCTAACCTCTGTGTCTCCTCAGTAAGCCGTTGCCGGTGTTTAATCGCTGCACTCCGGTGGATATTTCCTGCTATGCTAAGTTTGCGGAGGCCGTGGTGACATTTGTGGGCGATAACAGTGTTCTGCACCGACTGATCGCCGGCGTCGCCGCCAGTAAAGAGATCATCATCGGCCTGTGTGTCCTCGCTCTGGGTGAGAACCTTATTGATCCATAATGATCCCTCACTATATTCTGTCTCTGTGACCTCTGACCTCTGTCTCTCTGTCAGGCCTCTCTATGATCCTCATGGTGATCATTCGTTACATCTCAGCCGTCCTCGTCTGGATCCTCACCTCACTGGTGGTCCTTGGATCCCTCGGTGAGGTCACTTCCTGTTTCCCGTTCTGTCTCTCTCTGTGTAAAACAAGCTGATGTGTGTTTTTGTTCTTGTCTCAGCGGGGACCAGCGTCCTCTGGTGGCTCTACATCGACCACCGGCTGTACGGGAACCACACCACCAATAAAGAGAAGGAGGACGTAGAGGTCAGCAGAGACAGTGGACAGGCTCTGCTGGTCTACGCCGGGGCCTCCACCGTCTTCACCGTACGGATCCATTATTTATTCTGTCTCTATGAACCCTCGTAGTCCAGCAGAGGGGGCTCTGAACTCTTGTAGTCCAGCAGAGGGGGCTCTGAACCCTCGTGGTCCAGCAGACGGGGCTCTGAACCCTCGTGGTCCAGCAGACGGTGCTCTGAACCCTTGTAGTTCAGCAGAGGGGGCTCTGAACCCTCGTATTCCAGCAGACGGGGCTCTGAACCCTTGTAGTTCAGCAGAGGGGGCTCCTCTCCTCCTCTCTCAGGCCTATTGATGGATCAGGGACCTGATGGAACTATTGATTACTTCTGTTCCAGATCATTCTACTGCTGCTGATGCTGTTCATGAGGAAGCGAGTGGCTCTGACCATCGCTCTGTTCCACGTGGCGGGTAAAGTCTTCATCCACCTTCCCCTCCTCACCCTGCAGCCCTTCGTCACTTTCCTCGCCCTCCTGCTCTTCTGGATTTACTGGATCCTGGTCCTGCTCTTCCTGGGAACCAGCGGTCAGTTTAAAGCTTTACATTCTGTTTTTCTTTGATTCACTGATCGAAAGATGAAAAGCTTCCCCCCAAAAAAACCTTTAACAGAGAAAAGGAAGAAACCTCAGAGATCAACAGATGAGGATCCCTCACAACATCACAGAGCTACAAGGCATTCAATGATTCATATAATGAGAGTAGTAGTAGCGCTAATTATTATTACTAATCATGACTGCAGCAGTGGATTTAACAGAATCATAATCATAATAAAAGCAGTAATGGTTTCAGTAATAGTAATGTGTCTAATAATAATAATGATAGTAGTCAGCCCTAACTATAAACCTGAGCCAGCCCTAACTATAAACCTGA